TATATCTAGATCACAGACCCTGTCCAAAGTGCCCACTCGGAAGAAAAAGTAGATCCAGATGCTCTCGGAACATGTTTGCAGCCGATTCCTGGAGGAAAAGTACAAGTAAACGTTTTTACAGGCGAAAAGATGACGCTAACCATTTCCGTGCTTCTTTCTATTGTCGTCTTTCTGCTACTGGTCTCCAAAATCCTTCCACCAACATCCAGCACCATACCCTTGATGGCAAAGTCAGTAACCTGTCCAGATGTTGTTTCACCGAATTCACCAGCTCCAGAAATCTACCTTTTAGGTATCTTCTGCTCACTTTCGTGCTCAACGTCATCACTATCCTAGTTACTGTGATCATCATTAATGTCTATTTTCGTGGTCCAACCACACATCGAATGCCAAAATGGGTGCGAAAGCTATTTCTTGAGGTATGTCTCGGATCTTTGCCAGATTCACGGCTTATTCCAAGTAGGAGAACTGTAGAAAACCGTAAAGAAGGCACACCTGTAAATTCTGAGAACCGGGTAAGTGTTGTACCAGCGTATATTTGTCCTGGATAGCCCTGGATAAGACTGAACCCTACGAATTGCAGTAAAGGAGCTAAAAATTAAGAATCTCTGACTGAATAATCAGTACGTACCTAATCCCTTCCCAACTCTCTGTCAGCTCAGTTGGTGGTGAATTAGGGAGGGCATCTACGTGTTTGCTCGGAACACCTAAATGTACCTCCTCTTTTCAGTGGATGCCTCATGCAATGTGTATGCAACGACCGAAATCCCAGGTGAGAAAACCGATACCTGAACCTGCACCGCCTGAAATCACTCAATTACCCGGTTTGGGACGTTTCACCATCAACCCGGCCGAGCATCATCCATTCTGTCCAAGTGCTGACGAAAAGTAAGTCCACCAATTCTACTTCTTCATGACTCGACTACTTTGAGTGCCTTACGCTTTCTCAGGAAGGGGCCAAAAACTATATAGTATCCTACTCGTGCTCTCGAAAGGGTGGAAA